CCCCAAAACCCCAAAACCCCGTCATAAGAAATTAAACTCTGCAGATAAAATAAATAAATAAAAAATTGAGAGATAGCTGATTCAAGTGAAAGATTAAACTGATGTGAATTAGTTCATCTTGCTATAGTATTTTTCCATGCTCAAACTTCTGAGTATATTAAGTCTCTACAAGTTTTCATGTTCCCTATTATTGACAATTGATAACAAATAATAAACTTACTGTCTATCAGCATCCTTCACTTTCTAGTCATGAATTTACGAGATGAGTATGTAGTGAGCGTCATCAAACTTACCTAGGTAATACTTGACACCCTCAAAAGTGAATCTGTAGTAGTCTCTTTTAAGATTTGACACACTGCCTTTTTCTATCAATTTTTCGTGCTCTAGTATTACTATTTTGTAGTTGATCTAGCATTAGAAGTTTGGATTGCTATAGGAATATAGGATGTAGTACTGGTAGTTTTTGTACTAAATAATGCGAGATTATATATCCTAGTTAGTGAACCCTTGGTCTAGCAAGTTGTCATAATTGAAGTTGAGAAGTGAATGAGCTTCATCAATCTTGATCAAAATATCTACTCTTTGATATCCAAGTTTAGTACACAGTTACTATAATTACTCTATTTTAATCATTTCTATCTTGGACTAATTAAGATACTTAGGAAGTCTCTCTAACTCCCTAACCTGTTTTTCTTGACTCAAAATAAAATTGTTGAGAAGCAATCTATTGCGAGATATCAGTACAAACTACATGGTAAGCAGCCACTTCCACAGATTATTATATTTATTGTTATAGTCTTTGATTTGCTTTGTGTATAACTCTTGTTTCTTCTTGACAAAGCAATCATTAATGTTACAGATGCACATCATTGCAGTGAGATGATCTTGTTTTAGAGCTGCTCGCTTACTTCTAAGTAGTTATTCAAGAATCTTCAACTCCAAAGCAAAATGATCCTTTACCTTCTTAAACTCAGCTGACCACTCATATTTAGGAGGAAACAGGGCTTTGAATGGTGTTTATTCTAAGTTTTAATTCATTCGCTGCCTTTTGGCTTCGAATGATTGCTGCATCGGACCTGCTTCTAGTTTGTTTATCAGTTCCTTGATCTATTGCAACAGCCTAGAATCATTTCTCTTCTCAAAGAGGTCTTCTTTGTAATTTATCATCATCAGATTCTTGAGTCTGATGTAAAACTCCATCTCTCCTATTATCTTTACCAATTTCTAAGTGAAACTCTAAGAATCAAGGATGGTTGTGTTCCCTAGATTGTGCTTTAGCTGCTGCTGCTCTTAAAGCTTAATACCAAGATCTTAGAACTTTTGATATATCCCACTCATTAGGTCTATTAGTGCAATTAATGGATAGATAAATGTTTACCTTTATCACTGAAGTATGAGAAAGTGTAGTATTTTTAGTCAAAATCGCTGAGTTCTCTTAGCAATTTCATGAACTAAACTACGATTGGATCCTTTGACCCTCCATAGCCCTCACACTAAAACTATTCATAGATTCCAGAGTTACTCTGAGTCATTGATAAGCATTCAGGAAAAGATAGCGTTGACAGACAAGTGAAAAATTTCTTCAAGTGATCATTATCTAATAGATGGAGAGGCAAAGGATATGACTTACCATCAGTAAAGGAGCCAGGATTAAGATCATTAATCGTGTTAAAGGACATATTGAGGTTTTGGTTATAACCCATTGCAGCTCCTATTTCAGTAAAGTCCATTGACCTATCATGAATTTGAGATTAATCCATTCCTAATTTATAATATATAAATTTGTGATAATTACAAAACTTAGTAATTTAAAGAGGTTAAAAGAGGAGACTGATTATAATTTAAAATTTAAACATTTATTAATAAAAGTGTAAAATGCAAGCCCTACAAAACAAGTGGAAAAGCTTCAGAACCAATCGAAAACTGCAAAATCTTTGGAATGACTTTCAATCTATCAAGTATTTTACTTCACATACCAATATACAAACACAATAGGAACGAACCTATGAGTGAGACGAAGGCGTTTAAGTTGAATTTGTTCTTAGATTGTTTCAATAGCATCGCTGAGGAGTAAATCAGTCAAGACAGCAGCAGCAAGGCTGAATTCAAGCAAACTAAAGATAAATCAATCAGAAAATAATCCTCAAGTCTAAGTCAGTCCCAGCCAAAGCCCAAGAAAAATCATGTATCGAATGTCTTCAGCGACATACCCCTAATGCTGAATGCCTTAATGGATTACATCGATGAAAATGGACTTAATGATTATGGTGGAAGCAGTAGTGTAAGTTCAGGAGAGAGGTTAGCCACATAAACATCATAGAATAAAAAGCAGGCTTAGGGTGCTGGGAATGAAACAGATTAAACTAGCAGAACTGTTAAGGAGAATATTCTGAAGAGCATTTAGATTGTATTCCATGTAAGTGAACGAATCATAATCATGGCGATTCGACTTGATTAATTTATCAATGAATCTAAACTTAATATGTTTAGGATTATTAGCAGCCAGAAGATTAAGACATTTTGATAGTCCTCTATAAATCAATTGTTAGAAATATTCAGACGATGAGAGATGATAGTACTGTTAAGATCGTACTTAACTTAGTGATCAATGAACTCAGAGCTTATGATTACAGAGTAATTTTAATATGCATTCAATGATCTTTTATTACTGTAGTTTGAATTCTTTAAATGCAAGGGTCTACAGTAAATGGTAAATCTAATTGCGTCACAGGGACAGATATCTGATTCATCCAAGTCACTTATTATGAAATTCATCAGAAAATTGCTTCTAAGAAGTGATAGAGCATCTGAAATTGATTAACTTACTGAGGGCAGTAAAAGCATCAGAGGCAGCGACATAAGATCTATATTCCAGACAATTACTAACGACATCGCTGAGTATTTCACCAACCCAGACTATATTTTCCATGACAAAGCCTTTGATGATTAACAGCAGTCACCTAATACCACCTCAATTGATCTCATTACTGATCAGTCTCAGTAAAAGTTTAGACTGTCGCAAGGAAGCGTGCTTAAGAAGTTTGCAACTGAAGATGAGGATTCACAGATGATGTATCAGAGATTCTCAGATAGCAACAGAAATAGTGCTCTTAACGCTTATCCACCTACTAAGAATCTTCTTGAAGGTTTAATGCTACAATAGGAATTTTCGGCTAATAGACCTTCATCGATGTCTCAAAGATCTTCTAGAGTTGATTAGCTTAATGAATATGATAGATTGAGCATTCAGCTGAGAGAAGACAAGTTTATAGAGACATTACTAGATGCGCTATAAAGCAGTACAGACTAGGATCTGCCTTCCTTGATGGAGATTTACAGTCTTCTTATCATTTACAGTCTCTACAATGAAAGAGACTTTGAAAGATAAGGTGGCTATAGTAAGCTTTAAGCTAGACTATTGAAATGCTAAGACATCAAAGACAAGAAAAAGTCAATGACTGGCTCCATTGATTAGTTTAGAGTCATAGACGCTATCTTTGAGCAGTTATTCCAGATCATATGCCCCTAAAAATTGCGTATCAAAACATATAACTGTCTAAAACTGCTCTTAAATCTGGTGGAACAATGTGACAACAACTTGATATAGATTTAAGCTTTAACAACATTAAAGATCATATTAGAAAAGGAATTGGAAAATTGTGTTATATTTTACAAGGCAAGTGGGTACAAATACCTAGAAAACGCCATTACTGTGATTTCGTTGATTCATAAGAATTCTAAACTTCATATACTAAAGCAGATTATCGGAATTGCTTAGTATGTGATATATGTATTGGGTGACTTAGATGTGCTGCCTATGATAGAATTCGCTAGTGGGTTTATTCAAAGTGAGAAAGTTACTCTAACTAACGAAATTTACGAGGAGCTTAGTAATTTCATAAGCACTGTTGTAGATGATAAAAGCTTTAGACTGAGAGGCAAAAGAACGAGAGATGCTGTGTTTTAAAATGAAAACATTAATTGCATCAACATCATGGGCACTGTGTTTATGAATGGCTATAGTCTACTCAAACAATCTATTGATATCCTGAAAACAAAAGATAGGTAGTAGATGACCTTTCATGACCACTTTTTCTTTGACTAGAGTATCAAGCTCTTGATAAAGATAGCTGAGTATCAGATAAAGGTTCAGTCTAAGCAGTCTTTCGATAGCTATAAGATCATAATTAGAGACTCTGACTCTAAGACTGTAATTGATAAATTGCTAGAAAGCACAGATAACCTGGACACTTTTATAGGCAAGCTTTTGAATCTGGGTCTGAATGACAATCTAAAGTATCTTAAGATATTAAACTTGATCTCCCAGTTGCTAATCATCTAGCAGCCTCTTTATCAGAACTCTGATGTTTAGATCCTTAGAATCTTGGATCAAATTAACGCAAGTTCTCAAAGCCAGTTCTATTAAGTGTTCCTTACTTTCTTGTTCAGTGATAAGCGCAACCCCTTTGTTAAGAAATTGGTTGAAAACATCGAGCTTAACAATGGTCTGATTTAAAAGCTCTAGGATCAACTTATTGCCTACCTGCCCAAAGACAACATGGCTGAAAAGCTGCTTAAAGACCTTCACTTTTTGACTTTGCTGTGCAGGTATTCTGGGTAAAATCAAGAGACATTTGATAAAAATCTAGATATATTCGTGTTTCTGAAGAGCTTAAATCTGAATCATTACGATATCGATCAGTAATTGCTGATAATGCAGTTTTTGCTAGAGCTGCAAGGCAGGTGTCCATTGTATGAATATGCTATAGATAAAACGGAACTGTATATTGAAGCAAATATCAACTAAATTCTAAGCCACTAGTATGTTGAGTTTGTAAATGAGATGAGAAGTGAACTTAAATCACTTAGCAACATTTTCAACAATAACTTAAATGATCTGAGCAAATCTGATTCTAAGCAAGAAGGTTTGTAAAACATCAAGAGAGGAGCTTAGTTAAGAGGATGCAATGAAAGTATCACTATGTTTTTGGTGACTCTAGTCCAAGCCAAGCCAAAAGTCTAAATCTCTATTTTCTAAGACTTAATCAGTCTAATGAATGGCTAACCAACAAACCGAAAGATAATCAATGAAATGGAGTCTCTTGAGTTCTTCTTGAAGATATTCAGTATTTCTAGAGAGAATCAAAAGACCTCAGAGCATCAAGCCTACTCCAAGACTCTAAGTGACTTTATATACCAGTTGCTCTTGAACATCCAACTCTAAGACCCTGGAGTGCTGCTTAACAGTCTTTTGGACAAATCTGGGTTGATTAACAGCTATCACTTGCAGAATGTGATTAATGCTCTGGCTGAGGAAACCCCCAGCTAGTTCATTTAGATATAGACCGAAGATCAGCAGAATTTAGAGGATAATATTGAGCTCTTCCCAGATCAGGTATTTGATAAGATGCTTGTGTTTAATGGCTGGGTATAATTGGGAAACACAAAGCCCAATCAAAATCTGATCTTCCAAGTCCGCGACTCTAAGTACTTCATCAAGTTTATCTATGAGTATAATGTGCATAGTTTATCTTCTAATGATGGAAGCGCCAACATGAGTAGCTCTGACAACTCAGACTATCTGATTATACTCATGAATGATTTCTATAAGAGATTGCCTATTGATTCCCGCAATGATTAGGCATTCTTTAAAGTCCACGAGTATAATAACTTCCACATTCAAATAAGTTAGAAAATGGGACTTATAAATCAGATAGATAACATTCTGATTATGATTAATGGAGTCAACATAACAGATCTGATATAAAGTAAGGTTAAATTTGATGGATCCCCTTTAAAATTACTACTACCCTAACAGCAATTGAATATGACAAATCTTAGTGCTTTTGACAGGCTTTTGATAGAATAAGAAGTATCAGTGATTTATAATTAAGGATTAATAGATGCAGATCCTAAGAGTGTAAAACCAACTATATTGCTGCCTGAATCAAATTATAAACCCCCTAGAACATCTAATATACCCTAGTATTAAAAGGTTACAAAAATCAAGCTGAATCCTGGAGCATAGAACAAAGGCTGGAATTTGAGGCTAGTTATTCCATTAAACTATGAAAACTTAGATGTACACCTAATTGAGGATAAGATGTCATAGATGATTTATCAAGAGTACACTACTATCCCAGGCACTTTGATATTCAAAGTTTAGCCACTCAAATAATACTTATGCAACGAGCAAGCACTAAGAGCTGCTTTGAATCTAATAGAAGTTGCAACTGATGAAAAGCAACTTTCACAAGCTTTTGATTTCTTGTCTACCTTAGTTATCAGAAATGATAGATCTATTGTCTAGATCCTTCATAAAATCAATGGCTTTGAAACTTTGAGAGATCTTATCCTTTAGCAATAATCTGAAAAACTGAACACAAAAGTTACTTTATAAAGTCTAATTGACATGAGCTGTAATTCCTATGAAGTAGATATGTTCCTATAAAAGCAGCCACTAAATATGCAGCAGCATTTGAGACTTAATGTAAAATTCGATGAATCTCGAATGGAGTTCCTCAAAGTAGCTCTTAGACTGCTCCCTCAAGTCAAAGACTCAAATATGCTTTTGATAGTAAACTCTATCTATCAACTTATTCTTAAATCAGATGACAATGCAAAGACCTTTAGAAATCAAATCGGAGTATCAACTGTTTTAAGGTTATTCTAGTTAGTTGGCAGTGATACTAAATTCCTTGTCATTTATGACACAATACTCTAAATCTATGAGCACATAGTGGTCTGTATCAAAGAGGATGTATTTGAGGACGGCATTGAGGACCTTAGACTTATATTTGACTTCTTTGGCCATCAAAATTTCAAAAACCAGAAGATTTGTGTACTCGCTATGGACTCTCTAAGTATTATTGCTATTCATATTGTAGCTGAAGACTAGATAAATGATAAATCTCTCTTATAAAAGGTGCTCAAGCTTGATCTTCAAAATAAGTTATTTGGATTGATGAAAGCTGATAATGTTGAAGTCAAGGAATATGCAATAAAGTTTTTGAGTTTGATACTGCTCCGCTCAGCTGAATTCAAGAAGTAGTATAAAGGTTCACTAGGGTTTAAATATATGACTGAGTGTCTAAACCAGAATGCTATGACTTCAAGAAACCTAATAAAATCAATAATTGAAGCAACTGCTGATTAGTTTGACAATCCAAACGCTCTGTACCCTTCAACTTCGTCAATTATTCATTAGCTTATGAATGACTCTTAGATTGCTTCTAAGATCGTAGATATGATTAATATGACACTACATAAACCAAAAAAGTCATTGATCAAGCACTTTGAACTGTTCCAGAGTATATTCTCCAATGTTACTTACTTGGAATCAGAATAAAGCAGTTCCATTATACTAAAAGAAGTGAGATCTCTCATTAAGGAAAGCAATTAATGTGATTAAGATGGGAATACTAATGTAGTAAATTTGTAAAGAGAGCACTTCACTGAATTCTTGGACTACATATTTGAATTCCTGAACTTGATGGAATATAGACTAGAATAAGTTAATTAGTCTCTAATTTACAGTGGGGAAAATCAAAACTCAGCAACTGATGATAGCAACTCTAAGAACAACCAGAGCAATGAGAAATAGATCTAGCAAGTAAGGAGTGTGGATATTGCTCTAGAAATTTTGACATTCATAGTTATTTATGATCTTTAACTGCCTGTAAATTCTATAAATTTAATCATAAATATAGAGTGAATAATCCCAAACTCTGGCATACATCAAAGATTAGACAGACCCTGACGATTTTAAATAGCTTTTGATTCTTGCCCGCATCTTGAAATACTTTGAAAGCAATCCCAAGATTCAAAACAAGGAGTATCATACTTTGTTCAATATCAAATAAGTAAATATAATCAGTTTTCATGGAATGCTATAGATCATTATTGAACTTGATCAGATAATAGATGACAATGTGTATGTGAACTTGAAACTGATGCAGTTGATCAATTCGTTTGCTTTCAAGAATACCATGGATATCAGAAAGCACATGAAGAATCTGTAGCTATTTGAGATTAGAGATGACTTAATGATCGACATTATTAGACACTGTGCTCATTGCAAGATAAATGAAGAACCGCCAAAGTACGAATCACCTAAGAAGCAGTAGTCCAAGTTTAACCTGATCTCCACCTCTAACACTTCAGCTAACTACACAACTGGCTAGTAAACTGAGCATCTACTTAAGCTTGTATCGTCCTTCTCTTTTGAGACAGTTGCTTCCAAGTCTAAATTCAGAGAGCTCAAGTGCATTGAATCCATTGCTTATTTCATGATAAATTCACAGCTCTAAACCACTAGAGACCAGTTCAGAGCCATTGTTAAGGATCAAATAATGCAATACGAAGAGAACTTAGCTTATATAAAACAAGAGTTGTCTGATCTATCTACACTAGTACAATTCAAGGAATATGGAGAGGGACAGATGAAGTCGTTTGTCAGCCTGCTATCTTAAAGAGTGCAGGAGGATAGTTACAATAGATCTGAAGTAAAGAAGGTAAAATAAGAGGCACAGTTAACTAGGAAGTTAAAGTTAATTGATACAAAGCATGCCTAGAGAACAAAGTAAGAGGAAATGCTTAAATAGCTAAAGGTAATCACATATCAATATTTATAATACTTGTGTTTAGGATAAGTAATTAGAATACTTAGACGGGGCAAGACAAAATCTAAAGTAAAACAAGATAACATAAGTGATAAGTGGTGCTCTTAACTATGGAATAGTTATAGTGTGATTAAGACATCAAATATAGAGATTAAACATTATGTAAGCTCTCTCAATGAGATTCTGAACAAACTTAATAATTTGTTACATATTTGAAGTTACTTAATTGTTAATTTCGATTTCTAATTCATTTTAATTTCATCAATTCCAAATAAAAGTGATAATTAATTAATACGGGGTTTTGGGGTTTTGGGGTTTTGGGG